ACAGCCATCCTTGCTGTCCAGCCCACCTACCGGCCACCAAACCCCTTCCTAACTGACTTCACAGCCACCAAACCTTCTTCTACCCTCACCACACTGCTGACGCCACTCTGCCCTCGGATCTTCCCTTCAAGACCTAGTCGAATCTTGGTTTGTTATTGTGTTTTCCCTTTCCATTTGTGTCATGTTGTAACCCTAATGTAGTATCAATAAAAGTTTGCTTTGTGTTTTTCGTTGAATTTCCTACTAGTTCCGGTATGAGAGAATTAATGCCAGGTAGTAGAAGCTCAAACACAAGCTATGATGTTAGAGAGCACGAATCCCTTTGTTTTAGCTTTCTTAAAATGTATTATAAAGATCATGGAATGATGATTTTTCATTTACAATAATACAATCAGCACTAGGCAAAATTTTGAGGACAATTCATAAAAAAAAAATTATAAAAAATAGCTCCACCGACAAACTATAGTATAATATCAATACTAAATAATTAAAGAATAATACAGAATACTTACTGAACCAGCACAAAAAAAGGCTTCAAAGCAAATCTGTGACAATAGATTAGAGACTCGATTTTGGATAAAAAATCTTTATAGGTTAACCTTTCCCTAAGACGCGCTAGTGCACTAAGCTCCTCCCAATGCAGGGTGTATGCAGCAGTGCCTAGTGCATGAAGCTTTTTGACATATGGTAACAATACCAAGATTTTTTTTTTTTTCTAACCTAAAATCCCAATACATTGCTCCAAATCATTATTATACTTGCCCCAATGCAAGGGACTTCATACAAAAATTGATGCAACAACTATTTTGACTGCAAACTGTGTCGAGGAGAGTGAAACACAAAACTTACTCCCCCAAACAAAAGAACACAAACGCTTTATCCTTCTGAAAAAACTTACAAGGAGAAATTAGGATGCAATGGAAATTCATGAGATGAAAAAGGTAAAGTGCCAAATCTGTGACAAAAAAAGATTATTAATCCATATCTATAATATATGGCATTTGAAGATTATCGAAGAAAGTGACATCATTAAAGTACTATCACGAAAGTAATATTATGTCACAGAATTGACAATGCTATGGCACAAGGTTAAGTGCAGAAAATTGCTGTACTACCATGCTAAACAAGTGAAAATAATAATCATCTCCCAAACATGAATGTAGAATCGATGTGTTTTTGCTCAAACATTAAACGTTAAATAATAAGAGAAAAACATAGAACAAGAAAGGCATCTTACCAGGCCCCATTACATTTTCTTTGTCAATCTCTACCATATAATCTGAAAGATAGCTGACTCGCAATGTTGTATTGATCAAACCATCCTTAGGATTCAGAAGAGAAGCTTGAAGTTCAGCAACCTCAGAAAAAGATGAACCCGAAACAAAGTCATGAACCAAAGGCTTGATGAGCTTCAGATCATGTAAGTTTTTATATATCTGAGGAAACAAATGAACTTCTAGAATATTCAAGTCAGCTCCTCTAAAGGTACGAGGTTTGTCATTGGTATGATTGTGCGTTATCAGTATGCCGCTTACAAAGCTTATATGCTTCTCATTATTATGGTCCTTCGAGGAAATATTGAATTGAAAACCAACAGCCATGGCAGGAGCATTAGGTATATCAACAAACTGCCATGAAATATAGTGATTTCTTCGTGGAATCTGACAACTAGTGCATTTAAGAGAAATAGTTGGACCACTGCTTGTGTTTTTACATTGATAATCTACATAAGTTGACAAAGAAAGGACTCTATACTCAATGGTGCCAGGAGTTCCAATCACCAATGTATCAAGGCCACGTAATTGGGAACAGCTCATACTGGAAAATATTGTGATATTGAATTCCAGATCATTTACAAATGATTGTAAATCTGGTAAATTAGCTGGTATGAGTCGGTGAACCTCAATACTTCTCTTGGTAATCATCTGATACAGCAATCTGATAGAAGTAAATGACAGGCTCAGAATGATTCAAATCTCGCAAATTGAACTTCAGTTGCCAAGCAAATAATAATGATGACTGAATTTTACATTACGACAACAAATGAGAAACATAATTAACATCATCAAAACTTTATATAAAATGGTGGCACTCACGCAGAAAATAACCCAACAAAGAGTATCCAGCTAGCCACAGAAAATGTTCCACCCAGCTCTGTTTTCCGCTTAACTACCACCTTGTTGTCATCCTATATTACAAACCAAGATTGACGGTAAACAATAAAATGATGAGCATATGATGTCTTGATACTAGAATCACCATGAGAATAACTTCAACTAAGCAAATTTGCAATGAAAATATATAAATGCAAAAAATGCCAGTCATGCAGCTAGTCTAGCCCAAGTCAATTTCCTCTTTAAGACGCTGTTTGGCAAAATGACCTCTCAAAACATACAAATGCGTAACAGGCATGATTTGCATTTCACATTTTCATCATAAGTGCAGAAGAAAATAATGAATTCTATCATCAGATAGGCTGCAACAAATTTCATCGTCTGGTTTTTGTTGATATTTTCTTTTCATAGGCATGCAAAAGACGAATCTTCCAGAAATTCATTATGTTGTGCAAGAAATGATTAATTTTAGTAAGAGTGGGTATAAAATCCATCAAGTATGCACAGCAACCAAAATATAAGATTTCTTGTCAACCATCCAACCAAAATATAAGATTTCTTGTCAACCATCCAGTTTATAAAAAAGATGTACCCCCAATATTTTTAGTAAGAGTGGGTTATAAATCTTCAATATGGGCGCAGAAGCAACCAAAAAGTAAAAGATCAGCATAATCTCCATTTCCAAGAAGATGTGCTTCTGTTTTTAACCTTTAGCCGCTCCTAAACTGAAGCAAAAACCTACTGCAAGACTGATCAAACAACTGAACAGTCCTTACAAAATTAGCATGTTGTCATTTTTTGAGATAGCTAAAATGAATCGTCAGATATTGCTGGATAAAAAAAAGTTGTTATAATCTGTGCATTGACCAAGAAAAGAAAGAAAGGGTTGAGTTATGCAGTTGAGAATGATTAAATGCCCTCTGTGTGTGTCGTGAGAGACTGAGGGAGGTGATATAAACAGATAGCATAAAAAATAAAGTTAGGAAAAAGATTTTGTGATATTCTACATTATGGCCTCAAAATTATTTGTTGTATTACAAAAATGAAGAAATAAATTGAAAGTGTTTCGTTTCTGGTTTCCAAAAATAGCTGGTTTTCCATCAGCATAAGGAATCAGCAATGATTTGCCACTTCAAGAATAATTGAAATATGAAGAGTAAAGAACATAGTCTTTAAATGGCTATCAAGCAAGATCCTTTCAAGAAGAAAAGGAGGAACAGTCTGGATTAACTTGACATGTGCCTAAATTTACATTAAATTCTTCATGTCTTAATGTGTACGCAGTTGGAATGACTTCAGAAGATTGTGGTAGTTGGGTCTATTGGACTGAAAGAATATAAGGAAAAAATTAAAAGCCGATGCAATGTGGGGATGCTCTTCATCCTAATCAAATCTTAGCCCCTAAATAATAAAAGGACAAATAAAATTCCCACGCAATGTGGTGATGCTATTTTTACTGAATCAATAAATCAATTTATTAGAAAAGTAAAAAAATAAATAAAGAATGAGATAATAAGAAGCCTCTATATTTGCTGGGGAAACCTAAAACGTAAATTGAAATTAGGTTAATTATCAACAAAAACCTTAAAATTTATGCGGGGATTTTGATCATTAAAAAACCTAAATTATGTTGTTGAGAATATATTGGGACAAGATTGTTATTAGTGTATCTTATATATGCGTGTGTGAAGTTTTTCTATTTTATAGAAAATAAGAATAATACCCTTAAAAACAAAAGCTATTAACAAAAAAAAGCAAGGATTTGTAGCTGCTATTTTATATCATTAAAGTTCACAGTTATTTAAGGAATTACTCTAGCAAATTGAAATTTTTTAAATGAATATGATGTTTGAGTATTTTCAGATGTTTATATTGAGTTAACTATGAAACAAACAACTGTTTTGGGAGAGATTTTTTTTGTGTATTAAGAAGCTCAAAAAATAAAAAGATTTGCTGCAGAAGCATTTTAGTTGGATGTCTTCCTAGTATGTATGTAGCTCTTTCCAAACATGTTTTTCAACTCCACTCTTAACCAAAGAAACTCTTTACCATTTACTCAAAAGAGAGCAGTTTTCCCGGCTCCCTTACCCATTCATAAGGTACACATTTGCCCATGGTTTTTGAAGGAGAAGCGCCTTCTCATTTATAGTTTTCCACTAGCATTACAAGCAATTTTTTAATTAAGCAAGCGCAAAAGAATTCCTTAATCTTTAGAGTGAACTACCTATCTAAAGATTAAGGACCATCCCCGAGTAGACCAACATAAGAACTTAGTGTTGCTACTCAAGAAGCTTAAAAATGACATGAAAGAAGGTTGCACGCACAATTCGGTAACTTCCTGATATATCCAAGCACTTCTTACACAAAGTATCCTTTCATAATACATGGCATGTATAGAGAGGCATCTATAAGCGCAAAATAAACAAAAAATAAAAATAATTAAGATAGTAAAAAAAATGGTGGAAGAGATTAGGATTTTACTGGAGAGAATATCAAATTTTGGGATTCAACTCTCAATGATGAAGGTACCCAAAAGAGAATATCCATTGTAAAAGCAGTATTTTTTTTAAGTGATGAAGAATAAAATATTAAAAAAGTACAAATTAGAAAAGAATCTTAATATGGAAGGTGGAGGTCAACTAGTATAGAGTTTGGACTTGAGCTTTGACTTGGTTACCTAAAATCAAGCTTCCTATTAAAGTTATAATATAGAAAAGATCTGTAATTAGATCTCTAATTACGTTACCTAAAATCAAGCTTCCTATTAAATTTAATAATGTCCATAACACTCCCACTCAAGCTGGCACTGAGATATTTATCATGCCCCGCTTGTTACAAATAGAAATGACCCTAGCCCCACTAAAGGCTTTCGTGAAGATGTTTTCTAGTTGTTCCCTAGTCTTTGCATAACATGTAGATATCAAATTTTGTTAAATCTTTTAAGAAAAAAATGAAAATTTATCTCAATATGCTTAGTTCATTTATAGAAGATTGGTTTGAAGCAATATAAATTGCAGCTTGGTTATCACAAAAAATTGTTAGAATTGTTATCATAAAACACATTTCGGAAAAGAATTAGGAGACCCACATCAATTCACTTGAAATTTGTGCTATTGCTCGATACTCAAATTCTACATGTGATCGTAACACTATATTTTGTTTTTAACTCTTCCATGAGACCAAATTACCGCCAACTAAAACACTATCTTGTAATGGATTTTCGATCAATCTTGCAACTTACCCAGTTAGCCTCAGAGAAACATTCAATATTTCTATGTGCATGATTCTCATATAGAAACCCTTTTCCAGGAGTTCCTTGAAGGTAACATAATATCTGTTCCAAAGCTAACAAATGATGGACTGTGGGGAAACACATAAACTGACATATAATACTAAAATACACAATGACAAAGCAAGTCTCTTTGAGGTAATTTAATTTTTTCACTAACTTCCAATATCATTTGGGATCATTAAAAAGTGCTTCCTTCTTGATAACTTGATAATTATGAAGCATCAGAGTACTGCATGGTTTAACACCTAATTTTTCTGCTTCTATTAACTGATCTAAAATTATGAGAGGTAAATGAATAGAGGTTAAGGCGTGATACAAAGATTTCTCATAAACAGTGTGGATTTATGTCGGGCAAGTCTACTATGAAAACTGTAAATTTATTGAGAGGTTTGATGGAGAAGTGCAAAGAGAGTAAAGAGGATCTGCATATGATTATTATTAATTTAGAGAAAGCTTACAAAAAGGTTCCAATAGATGTCCTTTGGAGATTTCTAGAGAAGAAAGGTGTTAATATGACTTCTATTCAAGTCATTTGTTAATTGTGTTCGAACAAAAGGAGAATTGACCAAGTATTTTCCTATTTCAGTTGGATTACATCAGAGATCAACTTTAAGCCCATATATCTTCTCTTTAGTTATGGATGCTATTACTGGACATTTACAGGAGATTGTACCTTGGTGTATGCTTTTCATTGAAGATATCCTTCTTGTGGATAGGAATAGAGAAAGAGTTCAAGAAAAACTTGAATTATGGAGATCTACATTGGATTCTAAAGGCTTTCATTTGATTAGATCTAAAACTGAATACATGGAATATAATTTTAGTAGTAGTAGCTCCAGTGGCAGAGCTATAATTATGGGTGATCAAATCATTAAAAGGTGTGAACGTTTTAGATATCTCGGGTCTATTGTTCAAAGTGATGATGCTATAGATAGAATGTTATCAGTAGAATTCAAGTTGGTTGGTTGAAGTGGAAGAATGCATCGGGCCTGTTGTGTGTTAGAAAATTATCGCTTAGACATTAAGAAAAATTTTATAAAATGGTGGTGAGACCTTTAAAAGAGAAGCATAAAACAAAGTTAACCGTTGCTAAGATGAGGATGCTTAGTGGATAAGTGGCTTGACACTTAGAGACAAAATGGAAAATGAATCTATTCGTGAAAGGGTGGGTTGGTGTAGCTCCAATGGTCAATAAGATTAGAGAGAGTCATCTTAGATGGTTTAGTCACCTTACATGTCGAAGATTTGATGATCTGATGATCTGATTAGGAGAGTAGAAGTTTTATATTCAACTTATGTTAAGCAAGACAGATGTAGACCCAAAACGACTTGGGCATATTGTATAAAAAATGATCTTAATCTATTCGAATTAAATGAAAATATGACACTTAGTATGATACAATAGAGAAAAGATCTGATGATCCAATTAGGAGAGTAGAAGTTTTATATTCAACTTATGTTAAGCAAGACAGATGTAGACCCAAAACGACTTGGGCATATTGTATAAAAAATGATCTTAATCTATTCGAATTAAATGAAAATATGACACTTAGTATGATACAATAGAGAAAAGATCTGATGATCCAATTAGGAGAGTAGAAGTTTTATATTCAACTTATGTTAAGCAAGACAGATGTAGACTTAGAACGACTTGGGCATATTGTATAAAAAATGATCTTAATCTATTCGAATTAAATGAAAATATGACACTCAATATGATACAATAGAGAAAAGATCTGATAATCCAATTAGAAGAGTAGAAGTTTTATATTCAACTTATGT